TTGAAAGTTAAGCTGTAGCCATTGATTTCCTGTGTTGCTCTGCTACTCCTGACTAGTATGCCTGGTGCAATTTGTGACACTCACACATCACACTAGGGGCACTAAGCAGCGAATCAAACCAAGTAAGCTGAAAGGTAGGTTTGTTGGCCTCTGGAAAAGCCACAAAATAAAGACAAAAATAATTATTTAAAAGACATCTGATGAAAGTTAAGCTGTAGCCATTGATTTCCTGTGTTGCTCTGCTACTCCTGACTAGTATGCCTGGTGCAATTTGTGACACTCACACATCACACTAGGGGCACTAAGCAGCGAATCAAACCAAGTAAGCTGAAAGGTAGGTTTGTTGGCCTCTGGAAAAGCCACAAAATAAAGACAAAAATAATTATTTAAAAGACATCTGATCTATCAACTAACTTACATGAAATCTGTAGAGAGTAACTATTCCAACATTGATTGCACTTATGCAGGAATGTCCAGGGAGACAGCAGCCCATCCACAAATGATGAATAATCCCCTACTTACAACTGGCTTTGCTGTCAGCAGACACTAATCAGCTCTTCCTCAGAATTGCTGCTAATGCCCGTGCTTCCCCAATTCTGGCCTGTGGGGTCTCTCCCCTTCGGCTGGAATCACACCTCCCTACCCAAGCAGACAGACATGCTGTACAAGTAGTAGTGTGGATGTTGCAGTTCAGGCTTGCCACTCCCACATCCCACCTCCAAGCCCACACAACCCCCGGGTCTGAACTCAGGCAGCTAGCCCCTGCTGCTACCTGTACACAGCATCAGCACTTCTATTTCTAGCATGCTAGCTCAATTAACGCATGCCTGGGGACCCACCACCTAGGGGACCCTGAGAGTCTGCAGAGTGCTGAGAGATCACATTGTGTGGCTTTCATTGTCTCCAGATGCTTCTGTGAGCATCCAGGCTCTCAAGTGGAAGGAAGAGCCAAAGGCAACAGGAATCGTCAGCCAGCCTAGCTGTCTCCCCGGGGCCCTCTGCTAGATAGGGGGATGAGGTGAAGGAGCTACCTTCACCATCAGTGAAACTGCAGCTGCCAGGGACCAGTAGGAGATAGGAACAAGAATGCAGCCACGGAAAAGGAACCAAGTATCAGGGAAAGGTACCAGACAGCAGAGAAGCATGGGCAACAGAGGAAAAGATGAGCCTGGGTAACCAGTCTGATTTTAACAAAATACTTATTGCACTATTGACACCAAAAATACACTGAATGCTTTCTTAATGTCACTTCACTGTGGAAACAACTGCCAGAGGCATGGTAAGTGATCAGCAATGGGAGGAGAAGAGATGCCCTCAACTGCGAATGGAAAGAAGGGCATCCAAGAGACAAGCTCTCTACTGAGATGTGCTTCAGCCCACTAAATAAGTTTGAGAACCCTTGGCTTACATAACTGTAAACCCAAATCCTGCACACCTCACTAGGGATGTTGCATCCCATTTAACTGATTAGTCAGTTAAACTTGAAATTTAACCAGTTAACCAATTAAGAGGGGGCACTTCAGCCAGGCTGGGTTGGAGCACCTCCCCCGCTGTGGCCGGGCTGGAGCAGCACCCTGCCGCAGGCTGGAACTGCTCTAGCCTGACTGCTGCCTGCACCCTCCTGGGCCCACCACAGCCAGCCAGAGTAGCCCCTGCCTGTGATGCATCGGGCCTGCCGTGGACAGGGGTTGCTTGGACGCCTGGAGCAGACCTTGTCCACAGCAGGTTCCACAGGGCTGGAGTCAGTGGTTTTTTTTGCTTAAAAAAAAAAAAAAGGTGCCAGACTCCAGGGGAAAAGTTGTTGAGTTCTGACTGAAGGTGCCGGTACTGCATACTGGACAGTACCATCACAAAAGAAGCACTGGCTGGAGCAGCCCCCCTGTCCATGGTGGGCAGGGAGATGCTCCAGCTCCCATGGGTTAACCTTTCACAACCCTACTCCTCCCTCAGGCATTCACCTGCAGATTATAGCCTTAGAGAACAGTCTCTATCCAATCAATGAACTCCCTTGCCATTGAAGACTTTCTTCCCCTACTACCAGCTACTGGATGTCTGAACTGAACATGTTGTGGTAGAGAATCAAGGTGAAGAATGTTTGCAGAATGATTCCTAAAAACTATTTTATAAAGAGGTGACATGAAGTAAAATGTAATGGAAGCAATAAGAAAACCTGTCGCCTCTGAACAGGTGCAAAGATGCTGAGTGCACATAAATTAGCAGCTGTTTTCAATGGATACATTTTAAATTCTGGAGAGGTTCCTATTTATCTAACAGGCCAGAATATTAGTATGGCACTTTTAAACAAAAAACACCCTTAAAGTACTGCACTTTCATAAAGAACCTGTTATCAGTATGCCTATTCCTGGCAGACATCAATGTCAAGGGAAATGAGTGTAATAAAGGGAAATTGCCTTGTACAAATATATATTTAATAATTTGTAATGTTCCTCCCACAGTATTTGCTGAGAAAATACTGCACAGTCACAAGAGTGTATTGGGTTCTGCTGGAAGTGTTATTTCAAAATAAGTAAGTTACGTATATGTATGAAAATCAGTGCCTGTTGATGCCACATATGCAATGTATACATGCTCAGGTATTAACAGCGTAGCGCATGTTTCATAAGCTCTGCAAGTTAGGGCAGAATTAATTGTCCTCAGAGCTTCAAAGTTTCCTCTGATTTTTCCACAGGGAGAATGAAAGCCAGCCAAACTCCAGCAGCAGCCCTCCCCATCAATTACATGATGCAACCCTGGTGTATTAAAAAACAACCTTTCTGAAGCTTGGCTGCCTTAACTTAGGCTCCTAAAAATTCATGTTGTCTCCAAATTGAAGTGACCTACTTTTCACAGACCATTTGATTTGGAACCTACCTTTAAGCACCCAAGTGTGAAACCTGAATTTTGAGGGTATGCACATCAACAGCAACCTGTGATTCTGGCAACGCTTCCTGAGTCCACTCAGATCAGAACTGTTCCCTGCACACAGAGACAAACACAGGTGAAAGTGGCTACTTCAGCCCATCAGATTAAATCCAGCATTTTCAAATGTGCTAACCCAACAGGCACTGGGCTACTCAATTGGATTGGAATTTGGGTTTATAACAGTCCATTTCTGACTGGCAGAAGCTGAGGCCAAACATTGCCTCGTCGTGTCAATGGAGGGCACTCTCCAACTGCAGGTAGCTAGTGCAAGTTCTCCAAACAATAAGAAAGTTGCCCCTCAAACCCTTGTTGTGATGACGGAGAGAAAATTGTCCAGTTTGGAGCCTGGTCTCGCCATCCGTCCAAGATATCTGAGCTGCACCTCTCTCTTAGTAAATACTGGAGGCAGTTCAGACTTGCCAGTGGCGCTCCAGGGCTTGGCCATAACTCCTGCCCCACCCAAATGCCTGATTTCTGCCTCCAGTGGTGCAAACAGAGCAGACTCCAGGACTCTCAACATGCTTAACCACTGATCTCCAATTTTTAACGTTTCTTGGAGGCAGCAGTGAGCCCCCTTCCTTTTTGGAGGTCCAACATGCCCGAAGCTTTGCGTCCCAAACAAAACTATCTGCCAAGTTCTTTCTCCATCATGATCAAGGTTAAGAGAGTTCAGAACATCACCTCCCTAGAAATGAAAGTGTCCAGGCTGGCCCTTCAAGATTTCCAGGAAAACTGAGGAAGGTGCACACCCTTAGCTATTTACAGATGATGACCTTGGGACACAAACTAGTAAAAGGACACAAAAAGCTCATCAACAAAGTGATGCAGATTCTCTCCTGATTGGAGGTCACTTCTACCACAGCAATTCACACAGAAGGGACATTGAACACTTAAGCAAACTGGCAAAACCCATCAGCTGATAAATAACTGTGAACAGTTCCTGAACAAAGTGGTATTCCAGCTGATACCTAAGGGACCAGACTGTTCTTATGTGGACCCCATCACCGAAAATCTAAGCTCCTGCTCACCAGAGCAGACATCGCTGGGAACGGATGCTCTGGTTCACAAATGGACATATCTCGTATGTATCCTTTCCTTCCTTGTATGGGAAGACAGAAGGGATACAAGGAAAATAAATTAACAAGGTCATACTAGTCACACTGAATTGGCCAAAGAGACTGAAGTTCTCATGCCTAATGGAACTGTCAAAGATTTCCAACCTATTTCTCCAGCTGACAGGACTTTTCTATCCCCAAGTTGGCTTTTGCATCCCAAATCAGGTTACACAAGTCTGACAATCGGCTATTGAGCAGCAACAGATGGGATATTATTCCAGTGTAATAGATACCCTCCGAACTCTCTATCCTCCTGCACCTCACAGATTATGGACAAATCTATCTTACTAATGTCAAGATCCAAGAGACCAACCATCCTGGTTCTGCTGGATTTCTTACAGAACAGCCGAGACCGTCGCACACTGCATCTGACATCTCAGAGCTAAATAGTGCCATGCTGATCCAAGACTGTAGCAGACCAATGGTATTAGCATTCCTGGGTGGTGGCAGGATATCTGTCCAAAGCAATAGTGAGGCCTATCAGCCTAGCCTGGAACCTGCACCAAAATAACAAACTCTCACAGTAATCTATTGAAACAATGGCATCTATGGGCCTGTACTCTAGATTCATGAAGATATAGCTCTTGGTTGAAATCCCATCAACTAAAATAAGACTAGAGCCTTACTGGGCATCACAAGAGCGTAAGGTAGGTCTTTATACTCATTCATTACCCAGGAAATTCTTCCTTCCACACATACCAAGAGATCATTCTTCCTGAGCTTTCCCCAAAGCCTAACCAAGCATAAGAAAACCATGAAACTGTGGCATGCAAGACCAGCTAGGGGGACTGAGTGCAGCATCAGCAAAATATATTCAACTCCAAACTGGTCTCAGAAGGGACAATACCTGTTCCATATGTTCTCCAGCAGCCTTCTGGTCAGAAAAACTGGTTGTCACCAGAAAAACCTCTGTAAAAGGGCACTCAGCAAATCCTTTATTAAAGCACTACAAGCTCGACATGCTAACCTCCACAGCAGCACAGTGGCAAATGTATGGGGGAAGGGTCGTGACCAAGTATGAGTGCCATAAGCACCACCCAGAATGGACTCTGATACCTCCCAAATGGATATCAATACCAAAAAGTTATTAAGGGAACAATTTCTCTAACCTTGAGAAGTTGGAGATAGAATGGTTTGTTATGCCAAGTACACCAGGGATTCTTAACTATTTTGTAGCAAGAAACATGTGACTGACTGTGTTATTGGGGGCGAAAGAGTTGTTGATCTTCTACCCACAAGTCTAAGTCAATCTTTAAGCAGCTAATATTTACAAGAGACAGAGAACACAGAAGTAACAGTGGACACAAGACATCCCCTTTTGCAACAATGAAGATTTTCTGTTATCGTCAGGAGCTATTTTCCAGACTACTTCAGAATCTGTTTCCATCAGGTGAACTGGACCTTTAAAGCACAATTTTCATTCTATCCAAACTGGACCATCCTCTAGTTCATATTAATAGCATAGTTACAGTGTACAGATCAGAAACAACCAAGGTGACAGATCTATTGTAGTTATGTCAGTGCAATTTAAGTATATAGTTGCACAAATCAAAAAGGGAATTTTATATGTTTTAAACTGAACAAGGACAAATTAAATAGAGATCAGAAATCGATTATAACTGACTATTTCAGACACACAACTCTAACCACAAGTGCATACTACAACATACAAACATTCTGCCCAGAGATGGGCACAGAAATCTCTTCACCTGTATGAAATCACAAGATTCCTTGACTAGCAGAGTGTAATATGCACTGCAGAGGCAGCATGCTCCAGCAAAGGGAAGGGGAGGAGGAAGACAAGTGGCAATTTCAATCACCAGCAATCTCTCATAAGGAACAGCAGTGACAGAGACTGCAAGAGCCCTAGCTAGGCGGACGAATGACTGTTGGAATACGGCACAACGTGTGTGTGGGAAGAAGCTGTGAAGTTGGATCCTTCCTTGGGGTTTCAGCAAAGAGCTGCTTGTTCCCACTGCCTTCACGTGCCTCACACCAGATTTGGGATACTTAGTTTAAGCTTTTCAGGGCATCCCTCTCCTGGTGAAAAGTCTCTCCTGAAGAATGGACCAAGTTAACGCCTAAACCTGCCCTTTTCTCTGCAGGAACAGAAATAGTATTTTCAATGACTCACTGGACTTAAGTGCATTTGACATCATGAGCATATTTATGTATCCTAGCAACCATCTGACAGCAAACATTTTGCAGACCTTTCCCTTTTTCCATACACAGCAGTGAGACTACCACTTTTGGCAAGCAATATATAGGAGAGAGAGAAAGAGAAAGACAGAGAGAGAAAGGCAATCCAACCCTACTGCCCAACAGTGCTTTCCAGGCCCTGAGGATTGCCTTCACCAAAAAAAGTAATCCTGAAAGTGGGCTTTAACCATAGGTTTAGTGGACACGAAGGTGACTAACCAGCAGGGACAAACCACATTCAGCATCACAAAAGATAACCATTGAGAAAAATCCACTAAGAGCAGGTTCTCTCACAGACAGCTGACAGGAGCCTCTGTCCCAACCCACCAGTCAGTTGTAGTCAGCATCATCTCAGCTGCCCAGACTGCTGAAGTCATAAACCACATTCAGCATCACAAAAGATAACCATTGAGAAAAATCCACTAAGAGCAGGTTCTCTCACAGACAGCTGACAGGAGCCTCTGTCCCAACCCACCAGTCAGTTGTAGTCAGCATCATCTCAGCTGCCCAGACTGCTG